TCCTTTGAGTTTTGTACTCAGATTAGATTGATAGTACCATGACTCTATGGTAGTGTTGAAAGAGAGATACAGTCTGTCAGTTCCTTGACACTTACTTTTTCTTTACTCTCTCCTGAAATTGCACTCTCCTCAGAGCAAACTTTGGAAAGACAGCACTGTGCCCTCTTCCTCAATAGGGAAACCAGTACAAATGAGTAATGTATATAATAGCTTGGATTCTTTGGGCCCTCTTTTTCTGTCCTAGGACTTACTTAGCAGTCCCAAAGCTAAAATGAAACCCCACAAGCCCCTTTCTCCCTTTCCATCACTGTGAATGGCCAGAAGAGCTCTGGACCCTTTTCCTTTTGTGATCCAGGAGACAACTCTGTTCCAGCCCAAGACTTCAGCAGAGTTCTACCGAGATTGGAGGCGACACCTGAGGAGTGGGCTACAGCGTTATCAGGCCCTGCTACAGCTTGGGGGTCCTAAGTTGGGTCAACTCTTCCAGACAGATGTGGGATTTGGACTTCTAGGGGAGCTGCTGGTGGCACTGGCTGATCATGTAAGGCCAAGTGATCGGGTTGCTGTGCTGGGCATCCTGCATAGCCTGGCCAACACTGGGCGCTTCACGTTGAACATGAGTCTGCTGAGCCAGGCAGAGAGGGAGAGCTGCCAATGCCTATTTCAGAAGTTACAGGCTGCGAGCACCCCCAAACCCATGCAGGAAGGGCTCAGCCAGGAGAAGTTGGGTGTAGAGGAGCTGACTGGTGGGCTTCAGGAGGAAGAGAGGCTCCTAGAGGAGCTGCTCAAACTGTACCAGGTCCATTGATAGGACTAGTTGCCCTCAGAGATACCAGTGGTCCCTGTGGGTATTTTGTGCTGTTTGGTCTTAGGTTTTCTGCAAGATTGCAATGAGAGATCTATACTTACACCCTTTATCCTGTGTTGTGTTTTGTTCTGTTGGTATGTAAAATTGAGGCCTTACATTTTCCACTTGAGCCATGTCCCACTTACCACTTACTGAGCTAGGACTGTTTAGAGCAAAAGCTAGAGTCTTGCCTACTTCTCTAGTCCTTTATTGTCACCATGTTTTACCTACCACTCTTCAAGTCTGCCATCCTTTTAGTCTGCTGGCCCTGAGAAAGGGGTATGTTCCCAACCAAATGCTAGCCATACTAACATTTCTTCTCTGAGGAAGAAAAAAAGCAAACGCATTTGTCTTCCATGGAAAACAAACACTGGTTTTCATAGTGCTTTCCCAGAATATTTATAACCCAGAGCCAATGAATGGACAGTTAATCCACAGCTGTTTCATTTGAGGTACAGAATTTTGCTCTAGGGACTAAGTTCTTGCACAGATTGGGCCTGAAAAAGCCCCAAGCCATTGGCTCAGGTTTGGCCAGCATCCAGGATGGCCAGATGTATAGGCGAGAGTTTCCTTCTCCTAGACTGATGAGAGTGAAGAATTTGATCCTGGACAGGCAGAGCAGAGTCTCTCAAAGTGAGGCAGAAGGCCTACAGCTCATTCTAGTTTCCTTTCCCCCATTCTTAGGTGAGTGCCAGTGTTCTAGAAAGGTTAGAGAGGGCCAGATTCTAGAATGATTTTCTCTTGAGAACAGGCCTGGAACCTTAGAAGGGCATTTACATATCAGTTGGGAATGAATGGCATTGCATTTGGCTGCTTTCTCTGCAGATCGGTGATTTCTTTTCCTGGCTGCTTAATTCTTTCCCCATATAGAAACCTCCTGTCAATAGTGATTTCTAGAAACCCATAGGCCTTGAGTTCCAGTGCCCTGCTCTGCCAGCCCTCACCTCCAGCAGGCATGAGCCTGGCTCATACCACCATGTTCCTATGGACCTGGGTCAGTCTCCAGGCTTTTGAAATCGTGGAGAAAGAAAACATTTTCCAGAGTACTCCTTGCCCTGCTTTTCTGATGTTCGACAATGCAGCCTATTTGGCTGACATGAGCTTCGAGCTTCCCTGCCACTGCAAACCCGAGGAGGTCTTATCTGTGGTCTGGTACTACCAAAAGCAACTGGGTAGCAGTCACACCAAAGTGCTGACAGACTTCGATGGGCGGTTGCTGACGGAAGCATCTCATGTGCGAGTGGGCAGTGACATGTTGGTCCGCTTCAGCATCCGCATGTTCAGCCTGTTGGTCTTCCGGGCCCAGCCTGAGGACTCAGGCCTGTATTTCTGTGGCACCCGCAACGGGGATTACTTTTATGCCTATGATGTCGACATCCAGAGCAATGATGGGATGGTGGCCACCTTCAAGGACGAAGGACAGGAGCCCTTTGCAGATGAACACCATGGCAGCCTCCATGTCTTCACTACCTTCTGGGAGTGGACCCCCTGTGACCGTTGCGGGGTACGTGGAGAGCAGTGGCGCATCGGCCTCTGCTACCTGAAGAGCCCTAACCTCTCCCCACGATATCAAAAGACAGTTCCGGATGTGGTATCCTGTGGCTCCCATGCTGTGCCGAGGAAGCTGCGCACCATGGCCCAGTACCACCTGCCTGAGCTGCAGATTCAGAGCTGCCTGGTGCCCTGTGAGAAGACCCAGATCCAGGAGGGCATGCCGGCCATCTACAGCTACATGTCGAAAGTGGGCAGCAAGCCCTGGATACCCCAGGTCCCCATTCAGTTCCACCAGCAAAGCCTAGGTCATGGGCTCATCATTTCCTGTCCTGGGGCTCGGCCAGAGCATGCAGTGGCCTGGGACAAGGACCATGAGCAACTGTACCGTAGACAGTACCTGATAGGTGTCAACAGATCCATGAGGGTGTTCATTGACCATGGCAATCAGCTCCACATTCGCTTCACCCAGATGAGTGACCGTGGCATATACTATTGCTGGCGGCAGGGGGTACGGATCGCTGGGTTCCGGCTGGGTGTGAAATCCGAAGGGCACTACCCAGCCTCACTGTTGGACCCTGAGACTCGTTCTGCTGTGGTGCTCACCCTGCTTGCCTACCTGCTCATTGTAGTAGTCTTTGTCATCATTCAACTCTGTCGCTGCTGCTGTTACTGTTGTGGCTGCTGTCCCAACATCTCCCTCTAAGCTGTTTCTTTCCCACCTCTGAAGACCAGCTGTGCTTTGATGTGTTTTATTAAATGATTACCAGATGCTTCTGGATAGGAACCTTGGGCTGGGACATGTGGACAAATATCTTAGTTACAGCCTGCCCCCTAATTTCATGGGGGGTCTGCAGTTTGATCTGGGAAATGGGGAAAACTGGGGTGAGTGGGAGATGGGGGATTGAGTTTAGGGGAAAAGCCAGGGACAGGTGTCATCGCGTATCACACTTGGATCAGAGATGAAGTAACTGGAATCTCCTACCAGTGTAGTAATCAGAATAGTATCAATGGTGCTTTGCAATCTTGCCTTTGAGGACAAGGCCAGATGGCAAAATACTGGTACTTTGAACTGGGAGTAGCAGGGACAGGGAGGAAAAAAAAGAGTGGAGGGAGCTGACATGTCTCCTCTCTGCCTTCTTCCCAGCATCATTCAGGGAACCCCAGGTAGAAACAGCAAGTGTAGGAATGAGGGTAAAGACAGGATGAGAATGAGTGGAGAAAGAAGAGATTGAATCAAAGCTTTCCTGAGTACTTACACCTAGACTGAGGACTGGGGAGGAGGAAGAGGGTAGGTCAGAGGCTGGAACATCAGAACCCTAATAGCAAAGTGGGTCAGAGCTGAAGTTGGCATGTGGCTGCTGCCAATGAGGGCTTGGGCTCCCAAGATGATGGATGATGGATGATAAGAGGCTACTTAGGCGCTTATTCAAGGTTAGGTCTTGGCCCCAGCCCTACTGTCTCAGGAACATAGCAGAGTCCACAATGGAGAAGGCTCAGGTACATGTCTTTATTGCTCCTCAGTGGGTAAAGGCAACAGCACTGCCCTGAAGGTTAGCAGTGGGGGTGGCAGCAAGGGGTGTCTGGGACATCAAGTCTTGAAAGAGGAAGGAACCCCCTCCTCCATTTCTTGGCTTCATATGGTGGATCCTTTCAACCTCATTTTGGGCACGGACACCCACCACCTGCCTGTTCACCCATGGGGAGCAGAGCAGGCATCGAGGGTGGAGTCAAGTGCCATGCCTTCAGGCTGCAGGAACACAAGCCAATGTGTTCACTGAACTCACACCCCTATTTCTCTCATTGTAAAGTAGGGTAGAGGAAGTTTTGAATGCAGGTAAGAGTGGATGCAGAGGGTGCTTGGCTTAGTGAAAAGCAGCATCCAGTGGAGAAGCTCACACATGGGGTGGTGTCTTTGCCAGGGTAGAGGGGCAGCAGTTGAAGACAGAGGCCTGAGTAGCCAGGGATTATGCAGTTAGAAAGAGGCTTTGGAAAAGGACACAGCTGTGCCCTGTCCTCTGGACAGCAATCCCCCCGCCCCTTTCCTGTTTCAGTGTCTTCAAGAGAAAAAGTCACTTCCTTGATTCCCATGACCCAGGGGTAACCAGTCACTCACACCTGCCCTCTCTGATATCTGGCCTTGTCTTCACAACCACCTCCACTACCAACGTCCCTAGACAGAGGGGGGAGTCCTGGGATTGACCACTCTGTACCCACATTTAGGGGCCAGCTAACCCCTCTGGTACTCCTCAGCACCTAGTCCTTCTCTACTTACACTAGCCCCCAAGTATTGAAACCCAAGCTGCCATGTGCAACCAAGCTCCCATATGCATATGGACTGGTTCCCAGCATGGCAGCTTCCTGGGGCTGAGATACTTGAACACTCCTCCCCCCCCCCCCCCCGCCCCGCCCTCTCCCTGTAGCATCTGGACAGGCCAGAAATTCTGTTGTGACTACTCTATGTATCAAGACTTTCCCCGCTTACTCTGGCCAGGACTACCTTGCCTTGGGAGCTCCCCTTATCATCTGAGGTTTGGCCCCTCCCATCCTCCAACAGCCTGAGGAAACTGGAAGTTTAGTGCCCAGAAACCTCCAGTTCTGGCAACAGTTGCCATAACAACAAGAGGAAGGAGGATGTGATTGGTTAGGTCCTCCTGCCTTGCCCAACTTATTTATTTTCTCCCTAGTATAATCCAAGCTGTTGACCACCGCCCTCCTCTCTCCAGACTATTCCTTGGGATAAGTGCCTTGTTAGTTGGAGGTGCTGGGTGCTAGGTTGATGCCATCTGGCAGCCTAATGTTGACTGAACTAGGGCAGCAAGCTGGTATAGAGACCTAGAAGAGAAGGGAGGAGTGGGGTAGGGAATCAGATCTGGGGAAATGAGCTATCGTCCCAGGAGGAGCAACTATACTGCTCCTACTGTGGAGTACTCCTCACATCACATCATTGTGTTCCTGCTTGGACTCCTTAATGACCTGCAGGAGACAGGAAAGGGGCACAGTTCATAGTTAGGAGCTCACACCAGACCCCAGTCCCACCATGCTAGGCTGGGCAATTCCTCAACTGTCCCAGGTCTTTCTTCTCTTGATAGTAACTATCAGAGCAGGGGGTGGGACACCACTGGCAAAGCATTTAGCACCATGCCTGTCACATGGGAAGCTAATGATATAAGAAGAGTAGCAACTGCTTTTGCTGCTATCTCCACTGGGAATGTGAAGGGGCTGTGGAAATATGTTATCTGTAAGCCCTCATCTCTGAAGCTGTCCCATCCCAAGCTAAAACTACTAAGTGTGTGTGTGTGTGTGTGTATATGTGTGTGTGTGTGGTGTGTGTGTGTGTGTGTGTGTGTGTGTGTGTGTGGTGTGTGTGTGTGTGTGTGTGTGTGTGTTTCTGTCTCTCTTTGGCCTGGTCTTGGAGACACCTGAGTCCAGAGGGAGAGAAAGGAATACAGCCTGAGCTGGGACCTTATCAAGGCACCTAGGTCCCTCTTAGCACCACCGGTGTAGGTGGTGCTTAGTGTAATGGAATTACATTAAGGTTCCATTGGGCTCCCAGAGTTCCAGGGATGCTCCAGAAAATCAGTGTGCCATTTATGCCCAAGTCCCAGGCTTTCTCCATAGGCCAGCCTCAAGAACTACTAGGGTCACCCAGAGCCTGTCCTCACCTCTCCATCCCGCATCTCCACAGTCTTTACCACGATGTTCCTCTTAAGGTGGCCTTCTGACATTGACTTGGTGTCCAGGCTGGTTTCTGCAGGTGTGAGGAGAGGAGGCCTCTCAGGACACTAGACATCCTCTCCTGAGCCCCACTTTCCCCATCATATATCCACACCATGAGCTCAAGAACCTATTCAAGCCAGCAAGGGAGAGCGTTGGCTCTTCTAAAGGAAATTGGAGACCCCCCCCCCCCCGCTCTCGCCCCCACCAAGTACCCAGCAGGGCACATCCTGCTTCTGTCCAGTGCTCTATTATACCTTCTGGTATGACTTTTCCCTGATCTGGCACCTGGCTTCCTGACAACCTAGCACTGCTCCAAGGATGAAGCACACAGGTTTTGAGGTCTAGAGGAATAACTCAAGTCCCGGCTTAGCCATGATCAGCCACACTGCTGATGGGCAGACTCATTGATCTCAGGCTGAATTTCCTCATTTGCAAAATAGAGCTGGTGGTATCTACTTCTCTAGGTGGGAGAGAAGAGGCAATTAACTGAGATAAAGTATGTTAAACACCAGGCACATATTAGTGCTCAATACATGTTCTCCTCCTCCTCACTTTCTACTTTCTCTGTCATTTATCTGGACCCCACTGACCTTTTACTGTCTACCACTTGACAGTGTTACTTCTACCTAGTTAGTCTGGTCAACCTTCTGTTGCTCAGTTAAGTCCTGGGACATGTATGTCTAATGTTCCTAAATATTTTAAGCCAGAAGAGGATTTTTTTTCCCTAGTCTAAGACTCATTTGAGAGCCACATACCAGTAAAAAAGTAATTTAGTTTGCCCCCCTTAGAGAGAAAAAATATGACGTGTCACACTCACTAATATTTAAAATTAAGAGCAAGGAACATAAAACTTTATTCACTACAAGAGCAGGAGTCTAGAGGGAATGAATCCTCTGGGCTGAATCAGCACCAAGCAGAGCAACAGAACCTTGGAGACAGATGAATCAAGCAGAGTGAACCTCAAGGGGACTTCCCAGTGACAGAAGAGGTGAGGCAGAGGCTGGCATGTGCTCAGAGGCCCCAGAGCATCTCATCTGAGCTCTCAGGGAAATACTACCTTTAGCATTGACCAGTTCTGCTAGTATAACCTAGTTAACCAGTGCCAGGTCCTGGGCTAGGGTCTGAGGCTCCTGGGCAAAGGAAGCCTAGAAGGAGGAAGCCCAAAAGCAGCATGAGATCTACTCCCTATTGAGCTCGGAAAAAGCAATGGCTGAGAGGCAGATAGCTAACCGAGAGTGGGGGCTCCATTTACAATCTGGTGAGCCTGTATGGGTATAACTTGTATTGTGAGCCTTTTGAGATGTCTTGTGACCTTGTGAACTTCCCCTTCTTGGATGCTTTTGCCCCCTGTAGTGAAGAGCAGTTAAAACAAAAGAAGACAAAACATAAAGCACTCAGAAGAGCAGAGTTTACCCAGAGCTTGCACAATAAGCCCTGGTTGAGACCTCAATCCACCTCTCCCACCCACTGGTTTACAGTGGAAAAGGGTGTAAGAAGAGAAATGCAGGATGGGACAGAGCAAAACAAGGACAATGACATTCCCCCTACCTACAAATGCTCTGGAAGACTGTGCTCTGGCTAGGAACTCTGCAGTGACTTATGAAGGACCCCCATAAAAGCACACGCTCCTTTGCCCTCCTCGATCCCAGGCCAAAGCAGCCATAGGCCTGGGGGCGGGGGGTGAAGGGGCATAGAAACCAGCATCTTCCCACAAGGCCCAGCTCTACTGACCTCGGATCTGCAGGTTGGAGAAGGTCTGCACTGGAATGGTGATGCTGGAAGACAGTGGAGGGACAGGGATGAGGAGAATGCCTTAGGACATTTCCAAGCCAGGTTCCAGACAGGACAGCAAGCCAACCCCAAGGCTCTTTGTGACACTTCAGTGGCTATGAGTCTGACTCCACCCTCAGCTTTCCCCAGTTTTAGTGGATGAGGAACTGCCTACCAGCAGAGTTTGGTAGGGTAGAGCAGAAGTGTGGGCAATTCAAGGGGGTGGGGGAAGGCAGTGGTGAAGAGCCTTCCAAGAAGGCAGACAATACCAATGAAGTAAAGAGAAGTAGGCTAGAGGAGGACCCATCTCCACCACCTTGGCACTTAATATTGGTTGGATCTACTTATGTGGTGCTGAGGAATCGAACCCAGGGCCTCATGCATGCAAGGCAAGCACTCTACCACTGAGCCACATTCCCAGCCCCTAGTTGGATCTATTTGTCAGACATTTATTGAATACCTACTGTGTGTTAGGCGGGCACAGGGAGCAAGAGGGACTGTAGGAAGAGGCAGCAGGCAGAATTCTAAGGGGAAGGAGCAGGGGCTATGATTAGGCCTCACCGGTTCTCCTCGCCCTCCAGTAGCTTTCTGTAGGTGGCGATCTCAATGTCCAGAGCCAGCTTGACGTTCAGCAGGTCCTGGTACTCCTGCAGATGGCGGGCCATCTCGTCCTTGAGGCTCTGTCCTTCCTCTTCCAGCCGAGTGAGGGCCTCCTGGTACCTTGCGGCCTCCCTGGCATGACGCTCCTCCTGCTCACGCATCTGCCTCTCCAGGGACTCATTCTGCAGAGTGGGGGCAGTGGGCAGGTCCCTTAGGATCCCTGCGCCCGGCCAGGATCCCAGGGCCCGGTCCTAGCCCTATGTCCAACTCTGCTAATGTTTTGGAGCCCTGCCCTCAGCCCAATCCCCTTCCCTTTTAGCAACTCCTACAGCAGCAAGTGCCAGCCCCAGCTGATGGTCCCAAGGCCGTGGGATCCAGCCCTGTCTGCACTCACCACACCACGCAAGGACTCCAGATCACAGGTTAAGGCCTGCAGCTGGCGCCTATAGTCATTAGCCTCGTGCTTGGCCTGTCGGAGCATCTCAGCATTTCGGGCAGCAGCGTCTGTAAGGTCCGCAAACTAAACAGAAGGCTTAGACTAAGAGGAGGGCTAGGTGTTTGTAGGGGTTACATCTGATGCAGCATGGGCCCAATGTGCAGCATGATCTCTGGGAAATCAGGGAGCTAAGCACTACCCCAGCTCACCCCAAGGATGTTGGCTGGGATTATTCCCAGAGACGGTGAATGGACAGAAGGCACTGTATCACTACTACTGGGCCTTGACACCTTGCACAGCACCTGGGCACCCAATAAATGGATGAACAGTGTCACAGAATCCAGAACATAATCATGGGTAGCTCCATCCTTGGGACTGAGTCTTGTCCCTCCCCACTGTAGAAAGTAGGTCCCCCAGCTTTGGGGGAGACCTTCACATGCTTCAGGCAGTACCCTATTCAGACTGGCTTCAGCTTGTGTTGCTAATACCTGAGCTGGATCCCTGGGCTCCCTTTTCTTCCTCTACCTCTCCCTTTTCTACCTCCCAACCCTTGAGGCTTCATTGTCCTCTGGGGCTGCTCTTCCCTCTTCTTTTCCTGGCTAGGATCTATCTGTCCAGCTGAGCTCAAGGCAGGGCTACCTTGGACCGGTACCACTCCTCTGCCTCCTGCATGTTGCTGGTCGCCACAGCCTCGTATTGTGTGCGAATCTCTCTCAGGGCTGCTGTGAGGTCTGGCTTGGCCACATCCATCTCCACGTGGATCTGCTGTCGGGCCAGCTGCTCCTGAAGTTCCTGCACCTCCTGGAAGGGAGAGAAGGGATGGCAGGGTTCCAGGCAAGGCTCTGCCAACATCTTCACATCTTCTCGTCTGCTTGCACTTCATCCATGGGTGTTGGTCCAGGAAAGAGAGGCAGCCCTTGCTGGAGGAAGTGCATGCCCAGGCTAAGGGGTGTAGGAAAAGGAATTTGGGAACTTCATGGCATCCTCATCCAGAGATGGATGGGCAGGAGCCAGGTGCTTCTTGTGGGCACCCAGGTTCCTCAGGATCATAGATTATGAAGCCAGGGCCTGAACAGATGGCAGGAATGGAGTCAGTTACTATGTGACCTTAATGCCCTGTAACCCCTCCGGGCCTCAGCAGAAAGAGGATAGTAGGAAGGATTCCTGTCTTACAGGGCTGATGTGAAAGAATAATTGAGGCTACAAGGTACATGGGATGCCATCTGTGTGAACTTCCCCAGGAGTTGGGGATGCTTTGCACTCTCTCTCCTCATTCATTCATTCATTTGTTCATTCTCTCTCTCTCTCTCTCTCAGTTTCTATCTGCCAATCTACTTTTGTATCTGAGTAAATCTGTCTGTTTTTCTAAGTGTCTGTCTCTCTCAGCTGAGTCTGTGTGTTGGGCTTCCCTCCCCCTGTCCTGGCCTTACCTCCTCATGGATCTTCTTCAAGAATCGGATCTCTTCCTCCAGTGACTCAGTCTTCCTCTCCAGATCCAGACGGGCCAAGGTGGCTTCATCTGCTTCCTGGAAAAAAGGGGACATTGGGCTGCTCTGACCCCAGCCACCTCTTCTTCCCCATTTCCCAGCCTTGCCTTACCCCTCCTTGTAGGGAGGAGGCTCTGAGGAGTAGCTTCAGAGAGCTAGGTTTGGGAGGATGTTTGGGTAGGCTGCCATCAACCCTTTTCTCCCCTCCCCTGCCCCTTCCCTCCACCTCTCTGACCTGTCTATAGGCAGCCAGGTTGTTTTCGGCCTCCAGCCTCAGGTTGGTTTCATCCTGGAGCCTAGGATGGTAGAACACATTCCTGGGTCCAAGCTTTCCTAAAGACTCCTAGATCCCTACCCCATTCTCCCTGGATGTGGCTGTCACAGAGACCCCTGGTAGCTGGTACAGTGGCAAAAGCATTGAAGGCCAGGAGGGTCCTAGACAGGGGCATTGTTTGGAAGGGGGAGCAGATAAGGGCTTTTGCCTTAACTCATTACTAAGAGTCTTATCGGGGTTGGTGCACCTGTTCCTGCTCATACAGGCACATCCACCACCTTACATTTGCATCCACAGACACACAAGCATTCTCTCCTCTGTCTCTCTCTGTCTCTCTGTCTCTGCATTTCTCTTTCTCTCCTGCACCACTGACTACATGCACTTGCCTGCCACTTAGCCCCTGGGGGATTTCCTCTGAGCCCCTAGTCACACTACCTGGGGAGATGGATTTTATTATGATCTCTGCCTCACAACTTGTATAAGTCAGAGACTTTTTCATGGACTTTCCTGTCTGGGCTAGCTTTGAATCACCATCCTCAGAGCTCAGCCTCCTGAGTAGCTAAGGTTACAGGTGTGAGCCATCAGTGCCCAGCAGCCTGCCTACTCTTTTCCTCACCTCCTTGACTTCCAAATCTCAGTTGCTTGCAGATACCAACCTTCTCTTGCCACCTTCTTTTTCTTCTTATTTATTTTTTCAGTTATGGGGCTTGAACTCTGGGCCTGGGTACTGTCCCTGAGCTCTTCAGCTCAAGGCTAGCATTCTACCACTTGGGCCATAGCACCACTTCTGGTTTCCTGATGGTTAATTGGAGATAAGAGACTCACAGCCTTTCTTGTCGGGGCTGGCTTTGAACCATGATTCTCAGATCTCAGCCTCGTGAATAGCTAGAATTACAGGCATGAGCCACCAGTGCCTGGCTTTGCCACCTTCTTATATATGGATCTAGGCTCAAAATAGATAATACCCCCTTCCAAATATGCATTCACACTATTGGTGAATGAAACGTAAAGCCCCTGGTTACTAGGGCCCTGACTGCTCCAACAGCCTTCCCTAGGTATTGAGAGTACTCTGTTACCTAGCCCAAGGTATTTGTGAATGAGATCCCCGAGGCTCTGGGCCTCCTCCTGGTCTTTCTATCATGTTGGAGGGCAAGGGCAGCTCCCCACTTCCCAGAGGTGGGGAGACCCAGGCTGAGTACGAGCCCAAAGATATAATCCCATCGGCACTCCCTCTCAGGGACTCTGGTTCTCTGGTAAAAGGCCCTTTTCCCTGCCCCCCCTCCTCACTTCTGCCTCAGGATGCCCAGGTCCTGTGCCAGATTGTCTCTCTCCACTTCAAGCCGAGCATTGTTGGCAGTAAGTTGATCAAGCCGCAGCCGAAGCTCCCGAAGCTCAGCCTGGTAGACATCAGCCAGCTTGGTGGGCTCCTTGGCCCGCAGCTGGTTCAGCTCAGCAGCCAGTGCCTTGTTTTGTTGTTCCAAAAACCGAACCTTCTCAATGTAGCTGGCAAAGCGATCATTGAGCTCCATCATCTCAGCCCGCTCACTGGCCCGGGTCTCCTTGAAGCCGGCATTGAGTGCCCCGGCCAGGGAGAAGTCCACTCGAGCTGGGAGTGGAGAAGACATTCGAGCTAGGGGGACCCTGGGGCAGGAACTCAAGCGGAGACCGGCACTCAGGCGGTGGCTGGGACCCAGGCCCCTGACTACCATTTCTGAGGAGGTGTAGGAGCGCCGAGCAGAAGTGACATGTCTCCGTTCCATCCTGCCCTGTCTCTCTCCTGGCTCCTGAGATGAGAGGACTTTATGGAGGAGTGGGCTGGACCTGCAGTGCCTGGGCTGCCTGGCAACGGCTTCTGGCATATCCTGAGGGGGTGTGGCTGAGCTGTAGTTCGACCATGGGGAGAGTTTTTCTCACCCCACTGAGGTCACTGAGCCCAGTCAGGGCTTTCTAGTATATCAGCCTGGCCAAAGGCAGGAAGTGCCTGGAGTCCAGACCACTGAGCAAGGAGACCCTCTCCCTAGGAAGCTGGGTCAAGAAAAGGCTCTGGATGACTTCTCAGAGCCCACAATAAGCCACGGTGCACAGGCCTTCTGGATGGAAGGAATTTGCTGAAGAACTAACCTGTGCCCTGTCTCAGGAAACAATCGATTTTCTCATTTCTTGTTTAGTCTCACTCCCTACTTTTTTGTGCCCATACTGTGATTTGAACACAGGCCTCACTCTTGCTTTTTTTTTTTTTTGTTGTTGTTGAAGACTGGCTCTCCACCACTTGAGCCACCCTCCAGGAGTCCCACTCCTACTGGACACAGATGGCCTGCATTGTTACCTTCTCCTCAGTCCTGAAGTTCTGGTATGAGAGGCTAGGATTGGTCCCCAGCCCTCTCTCCTGCAGGTCAACCAAGACCTCTGCATGTCAGGGTGACAGAAGGAATATGTGGAAGTCCTCATAAGAGAACAGAACTTCTCCCTGGCTACTCTTTTTCCCCTCATCCACTTTGCTGGGCCACCCCTCCCCTGTGCCAGGCCTCCCTGTTTCCCTTCCTGGAAACTGGGTCTGACAGCTCCACCAAGCAGTAACGAATGAGTTGGCTGTGCTGGCTAAAATCTTTGTTCCTGCAGCACCCTGTCTCCCTGGCCACCCCTCACTCTCCATAGAGATTTATATCTTTCCAGTTCCCACACATCAGGCTGTTGGGGATAGGTGGGTCTGGGAGTCTATGAACTGCTGGTTCAAGTGCTGGGAGGGAGTGTCTGAGGACTTCAGGTCCATCCATCTCCATCCATTCTGATCCCACCCAGGAGCTTAAGTCATCTGTGTCTTTGGGCTTCTGGGAAGCAGATGTCCCTGCTTTCCTCCCCTTGACTCCCCCACACTCCCCCTACTTCCTTCTGCCTCTCACTGCCCATACTTGGGCTCCTGATCTCTACTCCCAGGCACTTGCTGAATAGAGCCTTGTTCTCCAGCGCCAGTGAGGGCGCCATACAGCAAGGGCAGCCCCCAGGGGGGCTGTACTGCTTTTATCTTAAGATGTCAGGATGTCAGGCCAGGGTGCAGTGCAAGCCCCTTGCTCAATGGACTTCTCAGAAATATCTGAGAGGGGGCTAGAGAATAGAGGGGAATCAGGCTGTGTGCCCACCCCTGACCATTGTGTCTGTGCCAAGGTGAGTCATTCTGTGGGCACAAGGAGGAGGCTCCAAGGGGTGGCCGGCCCAGTGCCGCCAAGTCTCTAGCTTTCAGACACCTGGCCGTTTGCCCACCTCCCCAGCTCTCAAATCAGCTTAGGCACCCTGAGCTCCTTCCATCATTTCGTCACCCCAACTCCACACCAGGGACACATTCTTCATTGGGACATGCAATGAGCCATCTGCTGAAGTAGCCCCCATCCCCAGCAGAGCCCGCTGTAGAGAGGGATGCAAGTAGTGATGAGGTGAGGGGCATCTTGGGGAGGAGACTGGTACTCTACCACTGAGTCACAGCTCCACTTCTATCTTTTTGCTGGTTAGCTGAAGAGTCTCGCAAACCAGGTGCTGGTGGCTCATGACTGTAATCCTAGCTACTTAGGAGGCTGAGATCTGAGAATCACAGTTCAAACTAGTGTGGGCAAGAAAATCTATGAGACTCTTACCTTCAATAAACTAGTCAGAAAAAGCTGGAAGTGTTGCTGTGGCTCAAGTGCTAGAGACCTAACCTTGGGCAAAAGAAACTCAGGGACAGAGCCAAACTGAGTTCAAGCCCCAAGACTGGCAAAAAACAAAACAAAACAAAATCTTAGTCACAGATTTTTCTGTCTGGGGCTGACTTGGAAACACGATCCTTGATCTCAGCCTCCTGAGCAGCTAGGATTCAGTATAAGCCACTGATGGCCCCAGCTTCCCAGTGATTTTTGTTACTGCTGTGGATTAGGAGGCTGAGGAGGGATAGGGAATTCAAAGGAAGAGAAAGACTGGGATCAAGCCTTTGCCTCAAGCCAAATCTCTGGCAAGAGTGGCTGACCCTGCCAGGTTGTCCAACAGGAAACTGTAATAGCCAGATGCCTGTAGATTGTCTTACTTACACATTTTTTGTAGAAAGACCAGAAAATTCAAAATAAGCAACACAAATAATTAGCCATAATTTTGCCACATGGAGATAAACATTACAGACTTTTCTATATATATAAACTCATTTTTTTTCAGAATAAGCTCATGCTGTACAAACGATTTTGTAATTTGTTTTTTAACTCAACAATATGTTGTGACCATCTTTCCATATCAATATTTATCTACATCATCATTTTAACAGCTGCATGCTTTTCCACTATATGCATTCATTTAACTAAGCCCTGTTGAACAGTTTTTCCTTCCCTCCCCCGTCCCCGCAATGTGTGTGTGCTCACCTCTGTTCTATTGCTATTTCCCTACCTATCTCTCTGACCGTGTCTGTCTCCTTCCAAACCACACTCATGCACATCTACCCCAGGCAGACAAAGCCAATAGAGCAAGGCAGGCCCTCAGTCTCTATCCCAACTCCCATCCTCCTAGCCTGCTTCCAGCTCTGAGGAACATCTTGCTGCTTCACAACTGGAAGTTCCAAATGTCAAAACTCTCAGATCAAACTCGATGACTTCTAAATCCCATAGCAAGTGCCATAGAAATAAGATGCCTGGACACCTCTCCACAAAGCTTGCAGCCATGTTGTGTCCTGCTGGGACAAGATGGTATCCTTGTGGGCTGGGAAGGTGGCTCAGTGGTAGAGTGCTTGCCTTGCATGCATGAGGCCCTGGGTTCGATTCCTCAGCACCATATAAGCAGAAAAAGCCGCAAGTGGGGCTGAGGCTCAAGTGGTAGAGCGCTAGCCTTGAGCTGAAGAGCTGATGGACAGCGCCCAGGCCCAGAGTTCAGGCCTCATGACCGAAGGGGAAAAAAAAAAAGATGGTATCCTTGTGCTCCTCTCCTATATCAAAATCTAATGGATGGTCTCATTTTCAGGGTAAAGCCCAAATTCCTCCTAGGACAGATGAATTCCACTTCTGTCCTCAACTTACACAGGAGGTGCCTTGTGTTTTCTAAAGATGCCAACCTCTAATTCAAATGGCCACATTACCACTTGGATGTTTCCTTCTAGCTCTTCTGTAACAACTGCTACTTATTCAGTGCCTGGCATGGCCCAGTGGTAAAAAACTGGGCAAAGATGAAGAGGGTTTGAATCTCTTGGCTGGTCCTTAGATACCACCATCTATCCCTTGGAGCTTCCCTGAGGAAGGGAACTGAGTCCCGGGGCCACTAGATGGCAGTGCTCAGCTGCCCAGGCCTGGCCATTACCACGGCTTGGAGGGAGAAAGCCAAAACCAGGTTTCTAGCATGTGCTGGATTTTTTCTTTCTTTTTTTATTTTATTTTTGCCAGTGCTGGGGCTTGAACTGAGGGTCTGGGCACTGTCCCCGAGTTTCTTTTGCTCAAGACTAGCACTCTACTACTTGAGGCACAGAGCCATTTTTACAATTTCTCCATATCTGTTTATGTGGTACTGAGGAATGGAACCCAGGGCTTCATGCATGCTAGGCAAGCACTCTACCACTAAGACATACTCCCGGCCCTGTGACGGGTTTTGTTTCTTTCTTTCTTTTTTTTTTTTTGTTGGTCGTGGGGCTTGAACTCTGGGCCTGGGCGCTGTCCCTCAGCTCTTCAGCTCAAGGCGAGCGCTCTACCACTTGAGCTACAGCGCCACTTCCTGTGACGGGTTTTGTTAAGTTCACTTTTTTCTTTTCTCTTTTTTTGGCTCCAGAACTGATGCTTGAACTCAAGGCCTGGGTACTGTTCCTTAGTTTTTTCACTCAAGGATAGCACTCTACCACTTGAACCAAAGTTCCACTTCTGGCTTTTTGGTGGCTAATTGGAGAGAAGAGTCTCATGGACTTTGCTGCCAGGGCTGGCTTTGAACTATGATCCTCAGATCTTAGGCTCCTGATCAGCTAGGATTACAGGCCTTCTTTGTCTCCTTGCCTGACTGGGTCCCTCCCAGAAGTAGAGATGAACTATGGCCTTGGATGGAGGACAGAACTGGTGGATGGCCTGCTAGTTCCAACACAACAGTCTTCCAATTGGACAGGATGGGCCAAAGAACGCACTGGAGGCTGCATCAAGTAGAGGGGAGCCTTCTTGAGCAAAAGAAACTTGGGGACAGTGCCCAGGCCCTGATTTCAAGCCCTAGGACTGGGAAAGAGAAAGGAAGAAAGAAAGAAAGATAGAAAGAAAGAAAGAAAGAGAGAGAAAGGAAGGAAGGAAAAGAAAAAAGAAACAGAGAAAGGAAAGAAAGAAAAGAAGGAAGGAAAAGAAAAAAAGACTAGAATGCTTGATAAGAAATATACTCATTATCTTGCCTATGTAATTGTAACCCCTCTGTACAGTATGTTCACAATAAAAAAAAAAAAGAAAAAAAGGAAGAGAAAGAAAGGAAAGAAGGAGCCGGGCGCTGGTGGCTCACGCCTGTAATCCTAGCTACTCAGGAGGCTGAGATCTGAGGATCACGGTTCAAAGCCAGCCAGGGCAGGAAAGACCTTGAGACTCCTATCTCCAATAAACCACCAGAAAACCGGAAGTGGCGCTGTAGCTCAAGTGATAGAGCACTCGCCTTGAGCTGAAGAGCTGAGGGACAGCACTCAGGCCCAGAGTTCAAGCCCCACAACCGACCAAAAAAAAAAAAAAAAAAAGAAAGGAAGGAAGAAAGAAAAAGAAAAAGGGTAAGAAAGGAAGGAAGGAAGAAAGAAAGAAAGAAAGAAAAG